TTATAATTACTATCCAACTGTTACTAAATGTTCAGGGTTTAGGGTGTTAGGGTTTAGGGGTTTCGGGTTTAGGGGTTAGGGTAAACCTCACAAAAAATACCAAACCAAAAGGGTCCATGTAGGGGCACAGTATAGGGTGTAAGGTGTATAGGGTTTAGGGTAGGGATAGGGTGTCCATTTACTGTAACTTTTTCGGGACACAGCTATGCACTATACACTACATTGTAAAACCACCATGGGCAAGCTTACAGTGAATTCCTGATGCTTGAATCCCATCCAAGCGCGACATATGCGTTGCAACTGGTGAGATGAGTAGTGTTTAAAATACTATACCCCCAAAGGAGGATACAATCTTACTCTATATTGGGTACCATAGTATCCAAATGAAATACTACTCAGATGGACCGCCGACTGATTGCAAAGAGTCCCTCCGCCACACTTCCACCTCTTCGGGATCTTCTCTGAAACAGCAGATAGAAGTTAAGGGTTCAAGGGTTACTTCCATTAGGGTTAAAGGTTTAGGGTTAAGGAGTTCAGGGCTTCCTACCATTACTTAGGGTTTGGGGTCATTTAGGAGCTTTAACTTTTTAAATCTAAACTAGGTGGAGCGCGCACCTTGTGCTAGTCGTATAGTAGGAATATAAGAAGACCCTCATATAATCACCACTCTCCCTTGTAGTCACCACAAACCCCTAAACCCTAAACCTTACTGGGTCGGGGTCCACCTAAGAACCAGGCAAGCAGGCAAGCCTCGACGAAGGTTCGCCAAGATGCCCCAAGGACAAAAGTCAGGATATCCAGAAATTTAGGGTTTAGGCTTTTGGGGCTAAAAGCAAAAAGGGAGGGATGTCCAGAGATTTAAGGTTTAGGGTTGGAAGTTGCAACAACTTATCCTCGGCCTCTTGGTCCGGGCCACTCGAACAGGAAAATTGACACCCTATACTGGGCTGCTGTCAAGGAACCAAACAGTTTAAGTTGCTTACTAGAATAAGGAAGCCCTATGATTTACTAAATGCCCATAACATAGTAAGTCAAATTGTGTTGCGGTATTTCTTATTAAGGATCAGGGCAGCTGTGGTATTCTTATTAAGAATTACACGGCGAGCGCTACTCAAACCAGTTCCTTGACAGAAACCAAGTAAACCTTTAACTTCAGATCCCATGTGGAAAAAGGAGTAAGTCAACTTCGCCCCAAGACTTCGAGACGGGTTTTTCAGCGGGTGGATCATTTAGGGGAGTGTGCTGCTACCAGTGTCTATACAGAACTTGGAGGTTCATGCTGCTTGAAAATTTCTTATTACTGGGCTATAGCCCTACTTATGACTGGGATAACCCTTACAAGGCCATTGAGTGAAGTATAAACTGGGGAAAAAGCAGACCAGTTCTTAAATCCCACGAACGTTCCGCAGCCCTAAACCCTAAGTATCCTGATATACCGCTATAGAAGCCATTAACGTTTTTAAAGGGCACCAAATTACTATTCACATGAACCCCCAAGATACGAATGTCAACCACCTCTTCCCACCCGTAAGACTAAACATTCCCCATGCGAGACCTCGTATGTTGGGGACATCTCTAATTTTAGGGGTGGGTGGGTGTTCGATATAAGCCCTAATCCCTAAACAACATAGGCGTTTCAATTTACCATTCCCCACGATATACCTATATAATTCCGATAAAACCCAATCAAGTAACTGTCCATTTTCCATCCCGCCATATACGAAGGGGGGTGGGGGTGTAAGTGGTAGTTTCCGAAAATAAAGGGATCTCCAAAAATACTATAATCACTAGTATGGGAACCCACATAATGGTATCCCTAATCTGGGAACCCCTATAAATCCTAATTCCTATACCCGAAGCCCTGAACCCTAAACCCCAACTCCTAAACCCTAATTCATAAACCCTTAACCCTTAACCTTAAAACACGTTCTTAGGCCAGGCCGGCTCGCGCCCGAAACGCAGGGTTTTCTGAGGACTTTGGGCTACAGTATTTATAGGTGTTTGGCTTGAGGGTTTCAGGTAAAGTCTGGGCTCAGGGCTACAACCATTTAGGGAATAGGGCTTCAGGTTAAGTTGATGGTTTATGGCTGAGGGTTAGGGCTGCGTCCGGGAGCAGGCACCTAACTCCTGAAGAAGGGTCTGCGACACCGGAAAAACCATGCCGAAAGTAACCAGGGGAGGCTCCCTTAACGCTGAGCCCTAACCCTGCATCCTGAACCCTAACCCTAAACCCTGAATCCTAAAGCCGCAACCCTCAAGCGTTGACCATTAATCCTAAAACCGAAGCCCTACACCCTAAGCCAAGATGCGCGAAATTTTCGCGGATGCCCCAGGGAGATGGAGATTATCCGACAGTCCTTGGTTGCCCAAGAAAGGGGATCCTGAGTTTCTGTCTTGAAGGGCCCTTTTTGACTACCAGGCTTAAGGGTTTGGGGCGTAGGGTTTGAGGGCTTAGGGCTTGAGATTCCGGGCTGCAGAGGGATTCAAAAGGAGTGGGGTTATCGCGGGTTTCTACAGGGATCTAATATTTACATCCTCCCGGAGGTCTGGATCGCAGCGCAAACAAGGCTTGCGCGTCTGGTAGCCATAAAAGGCCACCCATTGGCGCTGGATTACTGGGGGAACCCGTTCAAGACCCGCGCTACATAAGCCAGCCAAACATGAAGACACCCAAAATCTGAAACCTAGTGTAACAATTCATTAGGGATCCAAGCATACATCCCTAGGGCCCAACCTAAGTGTGATTTGTATACTGGGATCCCTGAATCCAAAGCCCTGAACAATTGGGGTAACCCTAAGCCCCATTTGTATGCTTGGATCCCTAAATCCTAAATTAAACCCTAGATAGGCTCAGCTTGTGCCTTCTTGCGTCGAGGCTCCCCCGCTTCAGTGCGGAACGGATGTTCCTCATCTGAATGCCATCCTGCCGGAGAGCAACCGGGGCGCTCTTTAGGGTTTTGGTCTAGGGGGTTAGGGTTTGGGACTTGCGAGGAGCTAAATCTAAGTTACTATCATATATGGGGTATGTAGGGTTGGGTTCAGGGTTTAAGTTCCCATAATCTGGGCTGTCAATAAATACTCGGGGTTCCTTACTATGGATACTTAGAACATTCCTTGTCAGCAAGCCAGGAAAAGGATATCATTGTGGTTGAGCAGGGTGGTATCGCCAAAGATGATCGCAGCTCATAGCAGAGGCTTTCAAATTCCGATACCAATATCTGAGCTATAGTCTAAACTCCTAGTATCCCTCATAGGCACCTGTAAAATACTCCCCTGTATAGGCCCGTATATAAGGGTTGATGCGGTCCCTCATGTATAGAATTAGCCCCTAATGGGACCATGATTTTGCCAACACACCATTTGACTGCCAGACTGCTAAGGAAACTCTAAACCCTAAACCCAGCGTATTTGCAAACTTCCTTAACGGCAAACGCTCGTCATGTCCAAGGGCCCATACATACAGTTAAACCAATCAAATCTGGGGCTTTATATAGGAGATATGTAGGAGTTATCTTGGGATAATGTAAAATAAAAAGGAAACCACTGTTTAGGGCTTAGCGTTTGAAGGTAGGTTATGTAGAAACTCCTGTGGCCCGGCAATACTCATGTGGGAAACAAACCCTATGAGCCCGGAGTATGTAATATACCCTGACCCTAAACCCTCAACCCTGTAGGGCCCCTTTCACCCCAAGCCTGTTGCACTTGGCGGCAGAATTCTGCTTTTTCTGCGAGTTCTTCGACTGCTTGACATGCACTGAAACCTGGGGAAATGAACTTGGCCTGGCGAATTTGTGCACGGATTTGCTGTACGATTCTCTACAAGTGCTTACTGGTTCTTCGTAGGGAATATGGGATATACTATATAGGGATTACATTTCCCTACAAAGAACGAGTAAAGTCTGCAGCCAGGAATTGCTGTTTCAACCTGCTGCCTGCTCTGTCGCAGCTGCTGCTTCTACAGCCCCAGCCAAACAGTGACGTGTCGGATGCAAGCGTCCGTCCAGTTCCAAATTAAATGCAAATAGGAAAAGTATTGCGGAACATGTCTGCTACTGCATGGCTCTTGGCGAGCAATATAAAGAAAGGCAGCATGTTGGTGTCAAATTTGCTGCGCACGCCGGAACTGCTTGAACCTTTGCATTCTGTGGAGTGCTGCTTCTACCACGTGTGGTAAATTAAACCAATGCCTTGGGAGCCCCAACACAAGCATTAATTTACGTAGTTCCTTCCATTGTAAGGATCAAGCTGCAGTGGTAACTAAAACTTCAGGATCGAAGGTGCGATGCCCGCCTGCAACTGCAAGGCACTGCTTGGCAACATGGAACGTAGCGGGCTACAGCACGAGCGCGCGCTGTAGCACAGCGAGTCACGTACTGGTCCTGATAGAGGAAGCTGCCTGGACCTGCTGGGTTACATTATGCCTCGCCTCCAAACCAGCAGGCCATTCTCCACAGCCTCCGACAAAACTGCCCATTTCAGCACGCGTGCTACCAATTCCATCTTTTGCTTGGAATCTTCATGGCTCCAGTGAGCTATGAGCCCGGCGTGCTCATCGAATATGATGTCCCGCAAATTCTCGTTGAAAGCTTGCCTGGGTGGTACTTAGGGTTTAGGGTTTAGGGTGGGATTAGATCCCCAGCCCTAGCCCTAAACCCTCAACCCACCGATAAACAATCAGGTGATTGTGGCAACCCAAGACTCCACTTCGGAACCCTATGAGAGGCATATTGATATGTAGAGTGTCCTGCTTTTAGGGTTTAGGGGTTAAGTTTGGGGTAAGCAAAGCCCCCTATTTGCCAAAACTGTCTATGAACAGATCTTCTCGTAGCACACTAGGAGAAACTAATTCTTATCCTACATTGCCACCTAGTTAGGTATGTACGTTGCTAAACATCCCAGTTAGGCCCCAAGAAGGTTGCTTGGAAGAGACTAAGGCGCAAAACTGAAGGTTGTTAGAACTTACTGCTGGCTAGTAAGAAAATAAGGGAATGTAATCCCGATAATTAGTGTATTACCTTTATTCCCTACAAACCACTACGGGGAGGGTCAGGGGACTTAGTAAGTGGGTTAATAATCCTTGTAGCCCATATACTACCCCTGCTTAGCCCCCCTCGTTAACCTACTTACTAAGTCCCCCCAACCCTCCGAGTAGTAAGTAGAGGTTCTGTGCTATCTGGGATCCCCAAACCCTAAACCGTGCTATCTGGGGGATTTTATAGGGGATGTACCTGACGAGTCGCTTGTCTGGGATTTTGCCCAGGATCTCATCCATATCCTCAGGCCGTCTGGCGGACATGGTTTCCTAGGCTGCTGTTAAGGAACAGAAAATGGTTTAGGGTATATCGTCCTTTAAAGGGTGGATATTGGGGGTAAATAGGGGGAAATAGGGTTTAGGGTTTAAGTTTCAAATTGAGATGTGGGCATGTGGTAAACTATCGGCTTTCCGCATGAAGATGAACAAACTTAGATTCCTTAACACATGGTAGTTTCCAAAAATAGGGGAGCCCCAATGTAGACGCCAGCATATTACATACAGTCCTTATTTTATGGGGACCCCAAAAAAGGTACTCCTAATTTTGGGAATCCTAAGCCCTAATCCCTAAACCCTTCAACCCTAAACCCTAAACCCATGCCCAGTCTCTACTTTAAGTTCTTGCAAGGAGTGGGACCTGGCCACCAAGGTGTCCCTGTTTCGCAGTTTGAGGCATTGAGCCATTCCAATCCTGGGTTGCTGTTGAGGAACTCGTGGGTTTAGGGTCTAGAGTTTGAGGTTTAGGGTTTAACACTTGGGGTTTCCCTATATAAGCGGTACCTCTTTGGGCGTCTCCATTTCTTTAATGGTTATAGTAATTATAGTATTTGGGGATCTGTATTGGCCCGCCCTAGATTGGAAGATTACCATATAGTAAATAATACGGTTCTCTCATTATGGTAACTTAGTCTACCTTCCTTAACAGCAACCAGAAGCTGCTGGGCTTCCGCCACCTCTGCCATGCACCAGGCTCGACTGAAGATATCCAATGATGTGTCTGCAACAATCACCGCTGAAAACTGGGGGTCTTTTGACGAAAGGTATGCCATCATGTCATCAAACTTGTTCATTTCACAGCTGATGCTCCCACCATCAGAACTGACCGGAGGCGTTTTGTTGAAGAACTTTAGAGTGTTGCAACAGCAGACAGGATGTGGAATACTTGTCACCGGGTCAACATCTCCAGGGGAGTGGGTAGAACAAATACCGCGGTGTTGGTTCACTGCGAAGGCGCATATCCAGTAGGTCTCCTGCATGCACTGCTTGTGGACAAGAAGCTGCTCCACGACTTGAACCCCAGCTTGGTCTGATAAGAGCTCCGCAATCATGTGAAAGGTGTGCTCACCAATTGCATCTGCTACAACACTTGCCAGCAAGTCACGGAAGAGGTTTGACCAGTTGTGAATGACCATTTTCTTGGGGATCACCTTGTTCCCTCTGCTAACTAGCTCAGCATAGGAGCTGCAGGCTGTATGTGTCATGGGGATGATCGCCCGTCGCACGACGTCACTGGTGGTGTGCAGCGACGGCTGGTAGGTCGGCATAGCACTCTCGCCACTCTCGCACAAGTGCTTGTAAAAGGAAATGAGGTCCTTCAAGGTTATTCCCCGGCCACTGAGCTCTTCAGTCTTTCGTTCCCACTCTTCTCCTTTGCTGATTTTCCTGGGCACCCTCCGGCCTCTACGTGTACAAGACTTGAAAGAACTCCAAGGGAGTGCTGGCAAAGCCTGGGCAGAACTCCAACGAAGCAAACGATGCGCCCCCGACAGAAGAACAATGCCGACTGTGTTCAGAAGGACAGTGAGACATACCTATGTTATAAGGTGATTCTCATGTAGGGTTTAGGGCTGAGGGAAATAGGAACATATTACATAGGGCAAATGTAGAGATTCGAACCAGTAAGCTTAATAAAAAAAAAGTACCCTTTTTGGTAATGGTATGTTTTAATAAGAGGCACCAAAAATCATAAAAAAAAAGGAACAAAGGGTACTACTTGGGTTCCTAGATACTACAATTACAAGCATGTCGAGGTCTGGGGAGCCTCCGTCCTCCGCAAGGACACCGCTGCCCATGCTTCGCACATGCAATGAAGGACCAAGTAGTGCCAATGCCACGAAGCTAAGGGCTGTGACTGAACTAATGACCAGCCCAGCCATCTGTAGCAAAGCTCCTCTCCGTCCAGAACGTAGCTCTTTGGCAGCCTCTGGCATCTCTGCGGAAGTGACTCTCCACAGAACACCCTGGATCACTGAATAGGCGCGGCACAGCGTCACGGTAACCAGAATAAACCACAGCAAGAAAACAATCAGTTCGGCCAGAATGGAAAGTACCATCAAACCGTCAGAGAGCAAAAGCGCTCCGTCCCCAATGAACTCAGGGTCGTATGTCGCCAATGCGATGCAGCCAGGAAACACACATACCTATGATGAACTTGGGGCCCTAGTTAAAAATGCTGTTTCTTGGAGTTTAGCAAGCGGAATTTCCAAGTAGCCCTAAGATACAAGCCTGTTTGTTGGGGTTTAATGAGGGAACAAATAAACAGAATTTCCAAGTACTCCTAAAATACAAGCCTGTTTGTTAGGGTTTAATGAGGGGAAAAAATAGACAGAATTTCCAAGTACCCCTAAGATACAAGCCTGTTTGTTAGGGTTTAATAAAGGGAAATAGACAATATTTCCAAGTACCCCTAAGATACAAGCACGGTTAGCTCGAACCAGAGAAGTCGCCCCACACATCCTGGGTTGCTGTTAAGGAACTTCGATTAAATTACCATAATGCCTATACATTATAGAAATTAATAGGGTCTCCCCGATATAGCAACTTACCATAAACCCTAGACCCTAAACCCTAAACTCAAATTAAGTTCCTTAACAGCAACCCAGCATCTGCCAAAGCAAGCCTGATCAAGCGCATGCCAAATGTTGAACAGAAGATCGTGAGCCTGGGTTGCTATTACAGGGCTTAGGGTTTAGGGTTTAGGGTACTAGAGTTTAGGGTTTAGGATTTAGGGTTTAGGGTACTAGAGTTTAGGGTTTAGGGCTTAGGGTACTAGAGTTTAGGGTTTAGGGTTTAGTTAGGGTAGGTTAGGATTTTGACCTAGGGTAAACAGAATCAAAGAGCAGACTAAAAGGAGCCCTAGGAGGGTACGTGCTCTTTGATTTCTTGGGTTTATACCCCTATTATGGTCATACAATCCTAACCTGGTGTACGGTACTAGGGTTTAGGGTACCAAAATCTTTCTTCCGCACAGGGCCAAAAAAGTTCAAACTTTAGTATAAAGACCGCATAGGGAAGGTCTAAAAGTTGGAAATTCTTTAAGTAAGTGATAAGGAAACCCCATGATTTACCACATGTCCACATTATGGTAACCTAATTTAAGTTCCTTAACAGCAGCCCAGTAGCCAGCGCCTGCAAGCACAAAGGCTCACACACTGCCAGCAATAACCTCACGCCCTCAAGCACAGGGCCCACAGATATGAAGTGCCTCTCGCTGTGACTATGTCGAGCATAGCACCGGACGGAGAGCATGCTACAAGAAATCCTGGGTTGCTGTTACGGAACTTAATGTAAGTGACCACATTGGGGAAACCCTACTAATTCCTATATATACACCCATTATGGCAACTTAATTCAAGTTCCTTAACAGCAACCCAGCATCGCAAAGCCCGCAATCCAATTGAGCATCAAGAAGTAGGACGATCGAACCATGTGCTGCGTCGGCGCGACCAACCAGATCCAAAGCGCTACTACCTATGTTGCTGTTGAGGAACTCAGCTTAAGACATAATATCCCTGCATAATGGAGAATCATATGGAAAAGAACATGGAACATGAAATGGAAACTAGGGGACTATATGGGCTTTAGGAACCTAATTAGCTACTCTACTGGGGAAACCCTACTATTTACCCATTCCGGCAACTTCATTTAAGTTCCTTAACAGCAACCCAGCTACGCCAGCCAGGGCCGTACTGAAAGCCAGCGCCACATGGTTGCTCGTGAGATGAGTGCTGCAATTGAAGAAGAAATCATCCTCCGTGGCCTGGGACGTGGTAATTGCCCACATTGCCTTAGCCCACATTAGTGTTTAGGGTTTAGGGTTTGGGAGGTCGAGTTTAGGGTCTAGGGCTTGGGGTCTAGGTTTTAGGGTTTAGGGTTTACTTAGCACACATTACCCTCACAAGAAGAAAGGATCCCTTGTACATGGGGGATTGTCAAAATTATGGTCCCTTTTCGGGCCCCCTGAATTAGGCCCCGTATTCGGCCCCGTAGTATAATAGGGACCCAAAAAGGGACCATAATTTTGACAACCACCCACATAAATATGAGGAATCCCATAGCCCAAAAGGTACAAAGGATCCCTAACATTGATCCGGTGGCCAACACACTCAGAGAGATGATAGCAAGAACAAACACGGAACGAAGGCATCCAGACTTCATTTGACTCCGCAACTGCTGGTTGGGGCGCATCCGTGTGGCAGCCTTACTCTGGGTTGCTGTTAAGGAACTTAAATGAAGTTACCATAATGGGTATATATAGGAATTAAAAGGTTTTCCCCGATGTAACAACTTAAACGAAACTCTTTAACAGCAACCCAGTACTGGTTGTTAGTAGGGCAGGGGTACACAATACGTTGAATAAGTTCAATTTTCTTTTACATTTCCCAATTTCCGGCAAATGGCCCTGAGCCTCAACCTAAGCCATGCATGTACCCTAAAACCCCGGTTTTCGTTTCATTTACTATTTGCTTCTTGATCTCCCCCCTCACTAACAACCCCCCCAAGCAGCTGTCGATAGGCGCAGCGCCTCGGCTTCGTCCTCAGAGCACTGCGGATAACCCAGCAAAATAGGCCGGGCATAGGCCATGGCATGTTTAAAATCTACATTTTCAGAGACATCAGCCTGCAAGCACAAGTTGCTGCGGGAAGACGTATTGCAACTGGAGTTGCGTCCTCGGGCCTACACATCTTGCCATCCTTCCCAGAGTGTCCATGTAGGTATATTCATTTAGTATATTCGTGTTTAGGGTTCAGGGTATGTACTTTCAATGTGATTCTCCATTGTGGGAGATGACATCCCTGAACTCCAAATTGTTAATGTCCCCTTTAAGTAGATAGAATATGGGGCATATGGGGATCTTACTATTATACCCAAAGCCATCTACTATCTACTTGAGGGGGACTATAACCCTGACGTAAAACTCCCTAAACCCTAAACCCAAGATCCTTCTTCGTTGACTTAGCGGCGGGGCTTGCCTACGGAGTGGTTGCCGTCCGCGTAGAGATTCCTGGGATGGCAGGGGTTTAGGGGAGTTTAGGGTTTGGGGTTTTGGAGGCTTTAGGGTTTAGGCGGGTTTAGGGCTTAGGGGTTGAGGGGGGTTTAGGGTTTAGGGGAGTTTAGGGTTTGGGATTCAGGGGGGTTTAGGGTCTAGGGGAGTTTAGGGTTTAGGGTTCAGGGTTTAGGGTTTAGGGTTCAGGCCGCAAACCTCCCAAGTAGCTTGCTACATGGACACCTTTCCATGCATAAGATAAGGGGACCCCCCAATATAGACGCCGAAAACTCCAATCGCAATCTTTATTATTGGGGCTCCCAAAAAGGGTACCCATAATTCTGGTGAATTATGTTGTAGTATGCTTTGGGGTGGATTCTGGAGGGATACCTGAATGTTTGGATATCCGCCTAGGTGGCTGCCATATCATATCTCTTACCCTAAGCCCCAAACCCTGACCTAAGCCCAAAACCTGAATCTTAAACCCCAAACCCAAAAACCCTATCTCAACTAGAAGGAGCCCGTAGTCCCTGGCATTCAGCTCCAATGGTTTAGGGTCTAGGGTTTAGCGGTTTGGGGGATTGGGGTTTCGGTGGTATGTCCTCGCAAAGCAGCTGAGGTTACCCTATCTATATGCAATGTTATCACCCAAATCAAAGGTGGTTCCGAAGCCCCATGATAAAAATGACGAGTTTTTTAATGTTTTCTTAGGAGTATACTATAATAAAAATTAACAAATACTGTAATTCCTAAGGACAGTACAAGTGCTGGGACTGCGAAGGCAACCCTATCCCTAGACCCTCCTGCACTTCCACCGGGCCGCAGATTGACGGCGTTCGGAAGATCAGCCGTGGTCAAGTTGAAATCTTGAAGCCACCTGGCGGCTTGTAGCAAGGGCCGGCTCCATCAGTTTAGGGTTCAGGGTTCTGGGTATATAGTCCCCCATATTAATATTGGGATAATGGAAAAGAAAATGGAAATAGACTATGGGTGGGGTATATGGGGATCTTATCATAAAATTCCCCAAACCATATATTCTATCTACTTAAGGGGGACTATAGGGCTTGTGGATCCAGAGGACCGCGGCCATGTCAACTGCTGGGGCGCTGCAGGTGTATAGTCCCCCTTAAGCAGATAGAATATGGCCCATATACCGCATATTCTATCTACTTAAGGGGACGATACTACCCGCTATCAGGGCCACATATGTCTCAGGGTACCAACTTCTCCCCAGGCGGCAGGAACCAAAAAACATGCTTGGCCGGCCTTACCATCAGGTCGAACCTGGCAGCATGCATTGGCAGCCCAGTTGAAACCCTAATTACTGTACCAAACTCCAAACGCAAAAAAAAACGACACACATCCAAACTCAACGCTGGCTGCAGATCTCCAAAGTCGACGCCATGATTGGTCTAAGGGTTTAGGGTTGCCAGTGACATGTTGGGAGTGTCTCACCGTAAGAACAGAGCACTGCCAACATACCACCACAAAACACCGCACAACCGACTCCCTAGGCATCCTGCATATAGAGCAGCACATGATTCACTTACTGCAGTGCCTTGTGTCTAATCATCTTTGCAGAGACCTGAAGACACTGAGATCATTTTTTTCCACTTCGTGACCCTCATGTGAGGTGTGATTCTAGCTCGATGCTCTAAACCTCGCGAAGTCTGGCTCGGAAACTGGATCATTCTTGGCCATGTTTGAAGGAAGCTGCAGCATTCCGAGGAACAACACCGTCTTGTGCTCGCACTCAGTGAAACAGTGAAAAAAACATCGTAATCATTATACGTTGAAACCGCGACGAGGACGCAAGCGGTTGGGCAGTCGTTAGAAAACCCTTGCTGGCAGATCCCATGCCGCTTCATGAGGTTTGTCCGTGATTAGATGCTCATAAGTATCCTCTTTCTTGAGGTGTGAAACCAAAAACTGAAACCTTGGAGGCGCCGTCGGTCGCTCGCTAGACGAAATCGGGGCCATCTCTTGCAAGGTCATTGACTGCGGCTGCTCCTGATAAGAGCCCGGATTTATTACACATTGTCCTCACAATTTTCTAGGCTGGATCGCGGGCAGCATTGTATAGTACTAATGCCCGACCAAACATACTGGTCATGGTAACTGCTACCCAATGATTTGATTCACAAGCCCGGCTCTTGCCAGCCCGTGTCGGGCCAAACGGAGATCAGCCAGCGAGCTAGTTCTCTTCATCCGAGCTGCAGCTGCAACTGAGTTGCTGGATATAGGCATTGGGTGTGCCGCACCGTGGCAGCGGGCAGCGCACAGGTGAAGACAGGAAAGCATCAGAGTCAGTATGGACCGGGGCGGCCGGCATTTTTGCCCTTGTCTCCAAACCCCTTGCCGCAGCCTTTGCCGCAACCCATTGGACCACCCATGCAACCACCCATGCAATCGCCCATGGGGCAACCCATGGCACCACCCATAGGGCCGCCCATTGGGCCACCCATCGGGTTGCCCATAGGACCACCCATCGGACCACCCATGGGCCCACCCATGGGCCCGCCCATAGGGCCACCCATAGGACCGCCCATTGGCCCGTTCATAGGCCCACCCATGCATGCGCCACCCATGTTGCCTGGGCCCATGCCGCAGCCCATGCCCATGCCTTGGCCACCTGGCGGCGCTTGCTCGAGATCCTGCCAACTGTACGCAGATAGCTTACACTGTAACCAAATGAGATGAAGCAAGTTCAGCCCTAAATCCTCACCTCTAAACCTAGTGAAACCCTGACTGTACTGTGGTTGCGGTCCTTGGCTTGGAGCTTCCCATTTCGGAGCACAGCCGTAAACGCAACGCTGTCGCCTTCCCTGAAATCCCCCTTGTGCCTCTGATGCAGGAAGACCTGATCGCCCACACCGAGGTCTTCGCTTGACATTTTCAAAATTGTTACTATTCCTAGTATTACGATTAATACCATTGATATTATTCTTACTACTATTATCATCATTGTTACTATTGTTATTTCTATTCGTGTTACTATTATCATTATTCTACTACTAGTATTATTACTACTACTATTCCTCTTATTACTATTATTACTATTATTACTAGTATTCGTACCAGTAATATTGGTATTACCAGATTGCAAGCCTGGACCCGAGGCACCCATACTTGGAACCACCCATAGAAAAAACCAAGCAGATTGTCATGACTCCTAGACCAGACCCAGGGAGCCCAATACCTTTGGTGGACCCCCCCCACCCTGCAATAGCGATAGAATAGGAATATAAGAGGGCCGCAATATGGTTACTATTTTCCCCATAGTCACTATTACTGGGTGGGGGGTCCACTTAGCCAATATCCCTTAATCAAGAAAATCTTGCTTAAACCATCTTAGGGGTCCTGGTATGATATCAAGGTATGGTCCTTAATGAGGGGTCTTGGGCTTTCTGGGACATGCCAGAAAAGTCGAAGGCGACTTTGTAACTATAGTCCCCCTTAAGTAGATAGAATAGGGCTTTGGGTATATTAATATAAGATCCCCATAT